CGTTTGAAAAATTAATTTTTTAAAATTAATATTGCTCTTCTACATTGTCATCAATAGTTAATAATTTTCTTACTTCTTCTAGAAGAGGCCATTTTTTGCGGCTCTTAATTTTTGAATTGATATTGTAATTATTCATTATGGGATCTGAAGTATTCATGACACGATAAAATAAATCCGTCATATTTGCAAGACGACTGAATTTTCTACTATAATCTTGTCTATAGCTTTTGTAATGTTTATTTCGTCCTTCAGATGCTTCTTCACCAAGCAAACCAACTGGTACCATACTATTTCTTATAATGTCAGCACCATGAATAAGAATTTTATGAATTGTTGCCGATATTGGGTACCAATCATACAAACCTACATATATTTTAGCAGTTGAGAAACATAATACATCAAATAAATCTGGGTTAATTTGAAGGTGTACGCATAACGCTATCAGAATTGTTTTGAATTTTTTAAGCAATTGTTCATAAATTTCTAATATTTCAGACTATATCTGAGTATCCTCAAAAGCTCTTCGTGCTTTATTACCATTATTAGTAGTACCACTTCCCCCAGGTTTGGGCTTATCAACATGTAAAGACAATTTTTCCCAAAATTGCTTTTGAACCTTAGGTTTCTTGTTAGCGAAAATCGATGTGTTTTCTTTACTTCTTACTTGACATACTTTAAAATCTATCGTATAAGAAATATGTAATAAAAATTCTAACACTCTTATCCAAGCATGTAAGGGACTTATTCCATAAATGAGTGTTTCAGGATTTGGAATGAAGAGATATTTAGTTTCATTTGAAAGATCATTGAACATTTTTGGAGTTGCATGACAAATAGGACATCTAAGCATGTCATTATGTTTAAAACTTTACCATCAATTAAAGATAAAAATAATGAAAAATGAACGTGGATTTTGACACTATTCAATAAAATTTCAAAAGCTTCCAATTGGCGGATCTGATCTTGAAGGTCCTCTTTTGTTTTTAAAATGATTTCCGGAGACTCTTTTGCGTATACATACCAAGCTAACAGGACGAGCAAATGTTGCAAATTGCGATGATCGATTATTCCAAAATATTATATTTTTCGCCGTTGTCCATCTCAATGGTATAAGTGTAGTTGCAAATAAATTTTCGTCATTCGAATTTGGAGATATTGTCTGATATCATTGATTATAACGAGAAATGCCAGAACTACCATCAAATCCATATGAGAACATGAAAACGGTCTCAATTTCTGTACATGATTCTTTTAATGTCGACAAATACTGCAAAATTACATTTTTTGTAATTCAAAAGTCCTTTTTGCTGTGTGAATTAATAATGGCTGAAGCGGAACTTTTGCTTCAACTTCTGAAATTGATATAAGATCTTTTGGTGGTCTGCATAAGTCCTTTATAGCTAACACTTTATCGTAGGATGAAAAAATGTCTGCACCTTGCTGCTTAGTTAAGGGGAGGATATAGTATTTTAGCTTTTTTCATTTTAAAAAATTTTTTATTTTAATCTAAAATATTTCAAGAGTATTGTGTGAAAATTTAAAGCAGATCCGAGCAAAACTGACGGATGATCCAGCTTCGACTTACAGTGAACACCGCAAAATGGTTTTTTTTGAAGGCGTCTTCGGAAATCACGTGCCAATCAGTTCCTTCTCATCATATAGCTTTTAAATTTTGACTAAATTATCTTTAAATGATGTACTATATATGTAAAATTTGTCCAATACACTGGCTCTAACCAAAGCGCCAAAAAAAAAATCACGAAAACATGCAATTTTTTCACAGAATTAACTACACCCTCCCCTTAAACCGTTTTTCCCACACTTGCTGTTTTTAAAGTCGGTGTTCACTGTCACTCAAAATCTACTACACCGATTCTTTTGAAATTTGGTACACTTTTTATACACATAAATGGCGAGGTAACGCTGTCGAGTTTTTTATTTTTTTGTTAATTATTACTCATTTTACAATAACAAATGTGTTGACATTTTATAGCAAAAATCGATTTTTTGACTTAAAAGTGGTGCCAAAAATCCAAAAATGAAAAAAAAATAAAAACTCAACAGCGTTACCTCGGGACATTCATCAGTTATCAAAAAAATCTTGGGTTTTTGAATTCAGATGATCCAGCTTCGACTTACAGTGAACACCGCAAAATGGTTTTTTTAAGGCGTCTTCGGAAATCGCGTGCTAATCAGTTCCTTCTCATCATATAGCTTTCAAATTTTGACAAAATTTTCTTTAAATGATGTACTATAAATATAAAATTTGGCAAATACACTGGCTTTAACCAGAGCGCCAAAAAAAAATCACGAAAACATGCCATTTTTTTACAGAATTAACTATACCCTTCCCTTAATAAACGTGTTCTTAAATAATCTTTTGAGAAAGAACGTGACAATAAGAAAGATAACGCTTGTTCTGCATTTAATTTTATAACTTTTGGTTCTTTAAGTAATTTCCTCATTTTACTCCCTCTATCAGCGCTCTCTTCAATTTCCTAAAGAATTGATTCCAAATCTTTCTCTTTTAATTTTTTAGCTGCATATCGACAAGCACTTATTAACCTTAAAGGATCATTTTTATTTTGTAAAGAAATTTTTGCTACTTCTCGCATTTTTGATCTTTTAGATAAATCCTGAAACAGAAGAGGTGGACGACCAGCTCTTGAGTTTGATTTAGGCTCAGATGATGATAGAGATTGTTCAATATCAGTTACCAAATCAGGAATTTCGAATGAAGAATTCAACCAATCTGCATGTTTTGTTTCAAATTTACTTCTTATTCTATGCACACTATTAAATTTTTGATTCCGCTTAGATCTAATAGTTCTTAAAGAAATTCGTAATTTTTCTAAATTTTTATCTTCTATGGAATTTATCTGTAGCTGTAGTTTTTCAAAAATAAAAGTTACTGCGACTTCAAAATTATCTATCTCATTTTCAGATTCGCATTCATAATTACTAAAAAGTAAACTAATGATTTCCTTTTTCTTAAATTTGGCCATGATCACTGCGAAACGAATAAGAAATGTTGTAATCTCCCATAAGTATGAAATAAAATTAAGTATCGAAGCAATAAACCTTACTTACCTTGCGGTTATTTTTAATAATATACAAAAATTAAGTATATCTTTAAATATTTTACAAAATTTTTAAGCACAAGCACATGAAATTGATGAAAACAATATTAATTTCCTTTACAAAATAATAAATATAATTAAATACATAAACAACGATAAATAAAACAAGTGAAGTTTTTAACAAAATACCAAGGTTTGGTTTGTTGGTTACATTAATTACCATGTTATTAAATATAAAAAGAACTTTGGATACAGGAAAAAGGTGCAAAAATTTGCAATACATTTAAAGCAGTACAGTGGTATAATAAAAATTCTATTTCAATGATGTGGAACGACGGGGAACTTTGAAACACAAAAAGGTACTATTTTTTTTAACATAGATACATTAAAATAAATTTTCGTTTTACTTAAGTATAAAGCTCCATAAATTTGTGAATAGTACTTGAATGGACATAAATTATTTTTAAAATCAATTATTAAATAATATAAACATGAGAATACAATGAGAAACGTATAAATAAATAAGTTTTTATAAGTATGCGTTCGATATTGTCAGAATTAATTTTCAACTTTTGGAATTTTTTTAAGTTTTTTTTTTAATGAAATAAAAAAAAACATCAATATTAACTACTCCAACTCATATAAAAATTGGTTCTATATTATATTTATTTGTTTCATGACCTTGAATTTTGGCACTTTGTTTAATCTTTCAGACTACTGTGGCAGTGCATATATATTTTTATGTGAAGTGAAATATAGAAAAACAATACATAATAATAATATTGTTTACATGATTTTAATGAAAATTTTAATTATTAAGTTTCATTAAAATTATTTAAAAATGTATTTTTACTGCGAATTTAAATTTGATGTTATCACAATTTTGACATCATCCAAAACTTTCTATAATTTTAAATTTTTTAATTCTATAATTTATTTTTAATTAAATTCGGATTTATTAATAGAAATTGAATAATGCTAGAAAAAGATATTTTTGAAAATTATCTTCATTGGATGAAGAAATTGAAAAAATAAGTTTTGGAAAATAAAAAATGAGAAAATAAGATTTATGGGGTCTTGTAATTTTTTTAGCCCTAAAATCGGAAGATTTTAAAAAAATTTTTGCTCATAAGTTTTAAAATATAATTGATCAAAAGTTTTTACATGTCATTGTGTATGTTAAGAAGTTTTAAAAAAAGGATTTCAGATTGAAAAAAATATATATACCTTCCTTCTACAGAGGGCGCTTTGTCTACTACATAATTACTACATAATTTCAAAATAGATGACTTAATACAGGACCTATCTCGAAACACTCAGAAACATAAAAAATTAAGAAAATGGCAAGCTTTTAAATCTAGTAATCTGAATAAACACTATTTTTTAACATAAATGATACACAAAAAATGTAATTTTTAACATTGGTAGTAAATCAGAGGTTTAGGTTCTATATTAAGTCGTCCATTTTGAAATAAAATTTGATTTTTTAATTTTAGAGGATTCTGCTATGAGCTACAATGACAACCAGTAATTTTTGCCAGTGGCCAAAGCGCACTCTGTAGAAGGAAGGTATAAATATTTTTTCCAATCTGAAATCCTTTTTTTAAAACTTCTTAACATACACAATGACATGTAAAAACTTTTGATAAATTATATTTAAAAACTTATGAGCAAAATTTTTTTTTTAAACTTTTGATTTTAATACCTGAAAAAGTTACAAGACCCCTTATGGAAAAACTAGACTACAATCCTTTTGTTATATAATAGTATAATAATAATATAGTATAATATAATAGTATTCTGTACATACAAAATACTTACGCGGGGAAATGTATAACTATAAATAAATAAATATTTATTTAGAATTTTAAGTAGAATTTCCGTAAAGAATATAAAAGGGGAAGAAATTATAATTTTTACCTCGAGCATGGCATCATTGTCCCACAAAATAGTGCCATGATGATGACCGCTGCTTCTCGCACGTTTGTGAGTGTGAGCCAAGGGCGGAGGTTGCGGTGGTAATCTCACTGGACCAAGACCTTCAATTGGAGCCGGTCGATGTGCAGGACTTTCGAGCTTTTCTCTTGTTAGTTCGTGCAAATTCGGCAACGAACCCATCTCAACTTCCGATTTCGATATCACACTTTCCCAAAAGCCATTCTGTTCCTTTAATTTAAATCTTTCACTTCATCCTTTTCTTTCAATACCGCATTTTCTTCTTCGATTGCAAGCATCCCTAGAATAAAGCAAACAGAATTAATTAATAAATAAAAAGTAAAAATAATCAAAATAAATAAAAATATTCACGGGAATAAAGGCAGACAATTTCGTTACGCTGATTTTTGTTTCGGTCTCGGAGCGCCCTCGACCTCCACTCGTGTCACAAAAATCACCATAAATAAATGTCTGCCTTTATCCCCTTGTTGCTTAATATACTATTTCTAGATACAAAATAAAAAAAAATTTCGATTCCATTTTGACATGTGAAAATAAAAATGAAGCGTATCAATTTCCAAAATGAAAACTATAATTTTAATAATTAATAAATAATGAATCGAAAAATTAACTATTTAGGGTCATTTGGAGTAAATGTAAACGGAATATCTATTCTTCCCAAAAAACATTAGTTTTTTTTGTTAAAAGGTAAAACGGACGGATTTCTTTTGCATGAACTTGTTACTAGAGTTCCCTAGAAAAATGTTATGAGGTACAAAAAAATATTGATGTACCTGGATCGCCTAAAACTGACTGTTTACATTTACCCCGAGATTTTGAAATTTTCCTGAAATTCGGGGTAAATGTAAACACCACTGTAGTTAAGCGAGGTTTAAGAAACAAGTTATTTCAAGTATACTACTGTTTTAAGGGATGGAAAAACTGAAAAAAAATTCTTCGTAAATGTATAGTAAATTAACCAGTTGACTGATAATGTATTATTTAAAATAAACAATCAACCATTAAAAAATTAGTAATGTAACAACTTAAATAACTTGAACAAATTTTAATAGATTTTCATTTAACTTGGTAAAAAGAAGTTTTTTTTATTTTGCTGAATAAGAATCTAAAATCGAATTTTTAAATTTCAAAATGGTGGATCCAATATGGTGGTCAAACACAAAATATTGTTAAAAATTGATCAAATTTCCTTGAATCTGGCTACTCGGGGGTTTTTGAGGTCGCTGAATACGAATTTGAAGTCAAATTTTAAATTTTCAAAATGGTGGATGAACCTAAAAATATTTTTAAAAATTGATCAAATTTTCAAAAAAAAATTTTTTATAACATTTTTTTCAAACAGGACCTAATTTTTTGTTAGGGTATTAATAAGGACGAAATACATATTTTTGTTTGATTTTTAAATTTATTTTTATGCAAAGGCGAGACAAAATACTGAAACAGTAAAACTTTGATTTTCAATCTTTTTTGCATTAAAAAATAACTTACAGTATGGCATTGCCAATTGTCAAAATAAATTATTGGCAATACTCACATCATCTTGTAGGTGAGCTGAGGTAAAAATATTGACGTCGTACTTATTTTTAAATTTGTAAATTTAGCTGAAACATCTACTGTTTACATTTACCCCTTGTTTACATTTGCCCCAAATGACCCTATTTGCTTTTCACAAATTTCGTAATAAAATTTACCGTTTAACATTCAGTGTATTTTACTCTTAAAGAGTAAAATGAGAAAAACTCACTGAGAAATTAAATTCAATTTATTTTCCTTTTAATAAAAATTTGTTTTATCAATTATTCCATCCAGCTCTCTTACTGAAATAAATTTCTCTCTCTTTCTCTCTCTCTCTCTCACTCAATTTATTAATAATTCAAAAATAAGAAGAAAAAAATATTCCAATAATCTAAAAAATGCAATTAAAATCAAGTACCAAATATGAATTAAAAAGTCGATAAAAAAATATATCGCCTATAACCAATAATTTTTATACAATACACCTTCAATCTTTTTCTCCTTATTTTTTCCACTCTGAGAATTGGTTTTCGTATAATGTTTATAGATAAATTTTTCATATGTTTCTCATTTTTTAAGTAAAAAAATATATTTTATTTAGACAATTTAATAAAAAATAATATTTAATTAGGTATTATTTATTATAAATAGTAAGTGTTGCGCACAGTGGGCCAGGATTGTTGATTTCTGTCCAAAAACCATTATTTAAAAAAAACTAGATATTTACGAATAACAAGTATGCTACCTACAGTTTTTAGGGTCGCTGATTACCAATCTGAAGTCAGATTTCAAAAATTCAAAATGGCGGATCCAATATGGCGGACATAAATTTTTTTATATAAATCAATTTTAATGAAGCATAAATATCTAAACGTTTTTTGGGTCGCTGATTACGAATCTGAAGTCAGATTTCAAAAATTCAAAATGGCGGATCCAAAATGGCGGACATACAATTTTTAAAATTAATCGATTTTATGAAACTTTGTATCTAGGGGTTTTTTAGGTCGCTGATTACGAATCTGATGTAAGAATTCAAGTGGATTTTAGATTGGGTGAGATTCGCCTACAATTTTTGGCTTGGGGGTTTTTAAGTTTGGTGATTACAAAACTAGTGTCTATACAATTCAGAAAATTAAAAAAATTCCTGATATTAGTCTACAAAAATAAAACGTACTGTAGTTTCCAGGATCTACCACGAGGAAGTTATAGATAAAGATCCCGTTTTGTATTTTTTTTTAGATTTTAAAATTTTTTTTAGTTTTTTTGGTTTTTTTACACCTGATGTTTACTTATAGGTATATATTTTATCGTGTGGGTATATCAGGTGCGCATGTAGTCCTATTGGAGAATCTGCTTTTATTTCCATGGATCAAGTAAACACTCCATTTCATATCTAAATCTGATTTCAGAAACACAGTGCTCATTTTTACATTTTTAAAATCTGACAACAGATTCGTAATCAGCAACCCGAAAAACCTCTACATACCTATGTTTCATTGAAATTGATTAATTTAAAAAATTTTTATGACCGCCATTTTGATTTTTTTAAATCTGACATCAGATTCGTAATCAGCGACCCAAAAAACCATAGAGTTATTAGAATAGAGTGCGCAAGCGACCAAAATGTTCCTTAGGCGCATTGACGGAGACAGCCATACGAAAAGTAGACCCTTTTTTTTTCTTTCTCTAATAACTCATGCGCGATAGTTAAACAGCTGATGCATCAAACCAACTGATGCTTGCTTGCTGGCAATTATATTTTTCTTTTATTTACGTGAAAAAAGAATAAAAAATTTAAAAACATTTTTAGCAGGAAAAATGGTATTTTATGTTAAGTTTACCTGCTTTCAATTTATACTCATCGCCTAAGAATGACTCTCACGGTAAAAGGTATAACTCGCGCACTCTATTCTAATAACTCTATGCAAAAAACCCATAGATACCAATGTTTAATTCAAATTTATTGATTTTAAAATTTTTATGTCCGCCATATTGGATCCGCCATTTTGAATTTTTGGAATCTGACATCAGATTCGTAATCAGCGACACAAAAAAATAATTTATTTATTTTTAAATATATTAAGTATTTCAATCAAAAACATTTTATTATTTTATATTAAATGTTAAACTTTAAATAGTTCTAGAAGACACAATTTTTTATTATTTAACAAATCCTTTTTGCAATAAATTCCTTATTTACTATCAAACTAGCAGAACTACGAGCGCGCGATATTTCTGTTTCTGTCTTATGATAATCAAGACCTTATTTTATTGTGTGTATATAAAAATGTGACTAAGACATAATGATCCGTTTTTTTCTTCTTCTGAAATATTGGAAAAAGATTAGGGGAGACTGGGGTAAACCCGCTCACAGGGTAAACCCGCTCACTAGCGATTTTACGCTATGAACTCAACTTAAGATGGAGATATTGGTACTGTGAATAGTACTTAACATTCAACTTATATTAACGAACTTTTGTTTAGTTTCATGAATTCAACACAGAATCAGAGACGATCAAATGTTTTTAGAGGTGTCAGAAAAAAAACGTATTTTGGATTTTTAAGTTTTTCGATAATTATTTTTGAGTCTTAATTTATCTGGGAAATTTTTTTTGTTGCTATTGGATGTCCTTCATCAAAGTACATATATAGTTTTGTCTTATTTTAAAAAGATTTAATTAAATTTATTCTGAAATGTGAGGAATACACTCGGGGTAAAGTCGCTCACGTGAAGTCGGGGTAAAGCCGCTCACTTAGTTTTAAATTTAAAATTTAGAATAAAATAATTTCACGTATTATATTTCAACAATAACACAATTTATGACTTATTAAAACTAAAATATTGTAACTACATTTCACTTTCTCTTAATAAAATATAACACTATTTAAATCCATAGTTGTAATTCATGAAATCTATGTTCATTATTTATTAAACCAATTTTTTGTTTATAGAATTGTTTACATAACTCATAAATTATCAATAATAAATCATATTTAAGACGGAAATAAGACGAACTTTAATATTTAAAAAATAAAACTGTTCCGTCTTGAAAAGATAAAGTGAGCGGGTTTACCCTGGAAAATTGTGATTTCGAAATTTGGTATATGTTTATTAAAAAGTTTCTCTAAGTAAAACTAAAAAAAATAAATCAAAAACTATTTTGTTTATAAAACGTTAAGGCAATTACAGATTTTCTCAAGATAATAGAAAGGTTTTTTCGCAAATAGAATTAATATTATCAATTTGTTGAAATTAGTACCACATGGAGTTTTGTGGGAATTGCGTACATTTTCAAACATCACTCACCACAAAGTGCTTAACATTAAGAAATTAATAAAACAGTTTTTAATACGAGACAGATATATAATGGTTAAATATCTGTTAAAAAAGTGTCATTAGGTACCTGTGAGAGTTGCAATAAATTAATTTGTAAAAAAAATTCATGTTTTATACAGTATATTGAACAGCTGTTTAAACATCTAGAAACATTGCAAACAATTTTCTACTCAAAACTAAATGTAAACAAGTCATACCAAGCATTTGCAACACGACTAAAGAAATACTGTGTTGCCAGACGTTTCAAAGTACCAAGCAAGTCAATTAATTAATTAATTACAAAATAATGGTTTTTGCTTTGATTAGTTCAGTCAAGCGATAGAAAAACTTTATATACATTAATTATACATCAGCAGAATTATTTTATTAAAGTATTCTTCCTTCTTTGTCAAAACATTGACCTCGAGATTTATTGATAGTCATGATAT